TACCAGATATGACAGTGAAGCCATCTTGGACCCTCCAGACCAGTCTATCTACCAAATGAATACTACTAAGCGACTGTCTCAGTCAAGTGAAACAAAGGGACCGCTTGACTTAGCCCTGCCTGAATTTGTGATACACGAAACTGTGAGATATAATAAAATAGTTGTTTTAGTCAGTAAATTTTGGAGTGTTTTAAAATTTCTTTATATAGACAACCAGAACAGAATCTGCCTCTTGAAAAAGTCAGTGACACGGGGGTTAAGGGGAAAGGTAGTGGGTCTGCTTAAAAGGTTATAGCAATCAAATGCAAGGAATACCCTTGATTGGCTCCTGGAAGATTAACTGGATGACAAATACTTGGAGGACGACTGGAGATGGGAACACAGACTATTACATAGTACTGCTAGGAAATTATTATTAATTTTGTTAAACTTAAACAATCCCACATCTTTGCTTGAAGCTGATCCTTGGATCTAGAATGACTCCTACGAATATCTGTGGGCTTGCTACTCATACTCAAGGGCCCCATTCTTATGCCTGCTCCTCTGTAAAGCCCTCTTCTCTCCAGGTCAGAATCCACCACTCCTTCTGAGCCTCCGTAACATTCTGGACATGGCTCTATCATAGCTTTTTTAAATTTTTTATTGATTTTTGAGAGACAGACAGAGAGAGAGGGTGGGGGACGGAGGGGAGGGAGAGAGACTGATTTGTTGCTGCGCTTATTTATGCATTTGTTGGTTGACTCTTGTACGTGCCCTGACTGGGTACTGAGCCTGCAACCATGGCTTACTGGGACGACACTCTAACCCACTGAGCTACCCGGCCAGAGGTGATCTATAGCTTTTATCTCCTCATGTTACTGTTTCCTCCACTGGGCAGCAGAACACGGGTGCAGCCCCAGGGCATCACACAGGCGACAGAACATCTTAGTGACAACTCCTCTCCATGTTCTCCTCACTTATGAGTTTATTGCTGCTTCATCCCCCTTGGACTGAAGCTCTGGCTCTCGGGTCATGGATTAAATGATATTAACAAATTACCAGAAAAAAATGAACGCAGAGGAATGGGAGGAAAGGGTATTTTTTTATGCAGCTGGGAACACAGGAAAAGGGAAGCTGGATTAAAACCTGTACCTTGATTATAATGATGTGAACACACGCGCGCACACACACTCTCTGTGAATACATCAGACGGGCTTACAGTGTCTGCTGGTGCTGCCGAAGACCGTGGGAAGAGTCTAAACTCAGCACTGCCCACACATGGGGTCGCACCTGCCCATCGCTGTATTTTCATCTCATTGAAGGCGTCTTGGATCAGCGCTCAAGAAACAGCTCAACCAAAGGAACATTTAAATTATGTAAAAACGAACTCCAGTGATTTAACTCCATTAACCTTACATAAGATTTCAAACGTCATACTATAATTTCAGAATACAAAAAAAAAAACCCACCAACTTTAATCATTTGAACCCATAGGAAAATTTTGCAGGAAAAGGCTGAAGATGTAAAGGATTTATCGAAGCACATTTAGAAACTCGAACTGGGGAGAGGGAGTGTAGCCAAGCTTAGATCAACAATGATAATGGACGAAGACGATTATTTAACACGTGCTCACTGAGCGCCCGCTTGGCGCCAGGTATTGCTCGAGATGCTGAGGACGGCAGTGAACAAATGCGTGTGGGTGATGGTGACAAGGCCGCGCGTGGAGCCCTCGCTCCAGGCCAGGCCCTGAGCTCAGTGCCCTCTGCATATGGGCTCATTCGCTCCACTCCCACCGCAACCCTGGGAGCTACTACTGTTATCTCCATTTTACAGATGCTGAAGCTAAGCTTCTGACAGGTAACTCACCCCAGGTGACAGAGCCAATGACAGTGGTAGAAATTTCCTTCTTTTACTATATATTTGACGCCAGGTGTACAGATATCTGATTATAATGTTGTACACCTGGGATTTATATAATGTTATTAACTAGTGTTACCTCAATACTACCAAGCAACTCAAAGGATGGAGTCCAATACATTTCCTTTTTACTTTCTTCCCCCTACGCCCCCCTCCCTTAGGGCCTCCCCTGCACACCCTCATCGGGGTTTCTGTCACCTGTGTCACAGCCTCCTCACTAAATGGAAGACGTTTAGAAAGCACTGGTATTCAAAAGAACAGATTTAAAGCTGCTTGTGGTTTTGCTTATTGAAAATCTGCATGTGCTACAGGGTTCTGTGATTCAGCAACCTTGAAACGATAACGGTGGAAAATTTACTTGATTTTTCAGGGATCCAGTAGAAGCCTTCCAGAAGACTGAAATTCTGTATATTATAACTATACTGAATATATGCTGAATATTTTAAACATACCGAAATTCTGTTTAGTATAATTCTAGCACGTAGATTGGTTGGCTGGCTGCTAAGGAACGCAAGCTTTCTTAGAGAAAAGTTGCATTCTGGGCTCTTATAATTTAGGGTACAATTTAGGGTATAAACAGATGTATACTTGATAAACTATGTGCTACTTTTGTCAAAAATTAATGCAATTATTTAAGTCATCAGCTCAAACTTTCACTAATTTCACTTCTGCTAGTTTATTCACTTATTAGTTCAAGAAGAGGACAGATTAAATAGAGTAAAAATATACAAGCAGTGACTAATAGCTTCATGGTGAGCCAAGACATTAAAAAAGAACTACAAGGTACTCTGATTTTATCTGAAACACGGGTCTGTTACTTTAGTATTAAAGTAACTGTGGCATTGGAGTTTAGAGCCAATATTCTGGTCTCAGTACAAAAATAATGCCTTTCTTCGGCACTGATAAATCATTAAGCATCCATTTTAACTGTTTCAATATAGAAAATAGCTTTCTATCTTGTGAGTAAATAACCTGCCTTGCCTTCAATTAGATTTATTTAGATTTCTATCCCAAACTACATCCAGTACCACATACTCATTTCATCAGAGAAATGATGAATATGGACTATGAATTGTTTACTTTTGCATTGGATAGTGCAGCAAAGTGAACATTTAAAATATGATAAAGGAAAAAACTCTCTTGTAACTACCTCTAAAAAGATTCCGTCTAACGCTAAGTAGATGCCTCCTAATTCTAAAACTTCAAGACTGGTTTCTCCCGTGGGCTGCTGACCTGCCTGTCTAGTGGCTCCTGGAGCCCAAGAATGCCAAACTGACTCATCTTTTGCCTCAAACTGCCCTGTACCTGTGCTCTATACACATCTCCATCCACCTGGTCAACCAGGTTAAGAACCTGAATCACCCTTGCCCCTCTCTATCCATTTCCTGCATCCAATTACTTGCCAGGTACTGCCCACTGAACAGCTTCCAAACTGGCTTCCCTGCATCTCACCTCTCCCTCCATCGCACTGCCAGAATTCTCTCCTTAAAAGTACAGACTTATGATATTACTTGTTCAAAACCCTTACAAGGTTTCTCCCATCGCCCATGGAATAGCCTAAACTCCTCAGAATAGCACCCCAGGCTTTCCACAACTTGGTCCTGACTCCCCCACTGCCTCTTGTTTTGATGATACCGAGGATTTAACTTACGGAGGTGACTGAGCAATCGGTCCACTGGAAGTTTTATTGCTCCTAGTTCCCAAAAGAAGGGGAGCATGGGCCAGAGACTTTATTGTGGTTTTTCTGGGAGGGAATGGGTGAGGCAGAGGAGGCAAATTTGCGCAAGGTCAGGACTGGGTGGTCTGAACAACGCTGGTGGACTTTGGGCTATAAAGGTGCTCTCTAATTGTCCAGTACTTGGCCCTGGGGTTATTTAGGGCAGGGGAATGAATGGCTTGGTGTGTGAGTTAGATAAAGGGAGTGGTTGGGGGCTTTGGATTGGTTGGTTTGTATGTGAAAGGCGTGTTCACAGGCAAGTTGCTTATTGCTCTAGGTATTAGCTCATCCTGGGAGAGACAGTTCATCCCTAGGACCCCAAAGCTCCAAGATGTCAAAGTATACAATACAGAAAATTTTAAAAACATTAATATACATCTCCCTTCCCATGAACCCTTTACTCTTAGCTCTAGTAGCCCCTGAAAATGCCCTTTTATGTGAAAAAAGTTCTGTAGTGCATCTCTCAACATTCTGCCACCACCCATAGCCCTGACTAACATCCCCAAGTCTGGTACCATGAATCCCCCCCCCCTCCCCGCACTAGACCAGTAATAGTACCCAATCTATAGGGTGGCTGGCAACCTATGACCCTTGTGGTCCGCCTCAAAAATATGAACTGGGCCATTGATTCAAAAAGATGAACTGAACCAATCAGATTCCCAATCAGATTTAAGGATTTACATTAAGAGCCACAAAAGGAGATTGCCAGTTTTTTTTCACGTAACGACAAACGGAGATGCACAGAGAGAAAACTGGTAAATAGGTCTGATTGGTCAGGCCTGGGATGGAGGGCTCAGAGACGCCTTTCTTTAAGCCCCCAAACGTGTCAAGTGTTTTTAATTTCATATACACATTTAAAGGACCGCATAAACCCAATCTAGTGCAACTGCGCCCTGCAGCTTTAACGGGCATGCCAGCCTCTTTCTCAACTGGCTACGCTCTGCGAGACGACGACTTTGCAGGAGCCGCCGACAGC